TCCTCTCCTCCTAGCCTCCAGGGTTGCCTTGAGGGCACTGGTTCGGGGCCGAGTCACTCCTGTCAGCACCTCCCTCTGTTTGCACCCATATAGAGTATATTTGTCCCATCTTCTCTAACTGGCTCCTAATTATCTTCCCAATTTGAGCTTTGGAGCAGACTTTTCTTAGAGCTCTTGTTTAGATGTCCCCTGAGAGGCTACACACCAGTGGCTAATTCCACATGAGTCGTCTTTAATTAGGGCCACAGTTTTACACGAAAGACCATGGTGCTGTCTGAGCATCCAGCTCCTCATGGACAAGGTGTCGCCCCCCTTCGGTCCCTGCTGGAACGTCAACTTGCCGCAGCGTGTCGCGACAATGTTTCAGTGTGTCTTGAGAAGCACACCTTCATCATACAACTGCAAGGCTGACATCAGTCTCTGTACAATGTCTGTCTTTTTCCAGTTCCTGTGGTAAAGTGGAAGTTCACTACCTCAGCACTGGTATTCATAAAAATACCAGCTAGTATTTCATTCATAAGAACTTAGTTTGTTACATCGCTTTGTTTAGATTTCTTACATTTTATGTTAATCTTTTTATAGTCCTGGACAGCCTTTCTTTCCATACCACTATTTTATATGTGACCTGTGCGTTTATACAAATACAACAGGGGTTTTGTCCGGACATAGTCCTGACAGGGAAGAGTACGTTTTCTACGAATAATCCCATAGGAGCAGTGTGGCAGTAATGATAACTGTGATAATACCTGTAGTTGTATCGTATCATTACTTAACACTTGACTTTATATGCAAATATGTATATTTTTTGTTCCTTTTTCTTCTGTCCAACACTACTGCTGTAAAACAACTTGTCCCCCCCTCCCAGGGAATAATAAAGACAACAGGGCCATGTTGTGGACGTGAGGTATTGCTGTTTGTAACTGAGCTCAGTGTAATACAGGATATTCTCTGAGCTCAATTTCACTCTCATTTTCAGGCCTTCCCAATGAGATGGCCTGGGGCCTGAGGAAGAAGCTGTATTACGACACCGACTACGTAACTACCAGTAAGTTTTTGCCTCATCAGCCTTGTGTCGTCTGGCAGCTCAGTCTCGTCTTTTTCCAGTGACGATTTTTAAGAACTCAACTCTCCGATTCACTGTAGTGTTTGAATATTGTCTTACTCTATCAAATGACATGGGCTGCCTAAAAAGCCTGTTTTAGGTTGATATTCTCTGCAGTTTTGGCACACAAAATGAGCAGCGCCTTCACAGGGAAAAAAAATTAAATATATCTAAATGGTAACAAATAAAATCTGGACAATCTATTTGGTAACATCATTGGTCAGCGACGATTTCCATAAGTCATCGGCAGTCTGTGATTATGGGAGATCCATAACTTAAAAAATGATTTCCTGAAGCGTCTCAGTTTGTATAGTCTCAGGCTAACCGTTTGCCAGCTGTTGAAACAGTTCATAAATTGACAGTGCAGAGCCAGGAGTGCCTGTGGTTTGTGAGTGCTAGCCATTCAGAAATCGCTCCAAACTCGCATAACTAGCCAGCTGGGCAGCTGTTGTTCACTGGCTTTATCAAGTAAGGTGTAAAAAGAACCAAAAGCTGTGCTATGCTATTAATATCGTTGGACAGCATCTCGGTGTGGAGCATGCACGGTGTGGAGCATGAGAAGATGTGCACACCCTGACAGGGTGCTTTTCAGAGAACGAATGTTCCTGATCCTGATCTCTCGTGTGTGAGTACAAGAGCTGTAACAGTGAGACACGTTGCCAAGGATTTGGCAGCCCTGTACTCCCAAGTGGCTCAAACAATAAAGGCTCTCCCCGTGACTGCAGTGTGAAACGGAATGGCCCAGATGTCACAGGTTGAAGCTGAGCTGCGACTGGGACTGCCCAAGGGCCAGAACGCAGGCAGCAGAGTGCCACCAGGGGTGATTTAGTTGGTCGGGGCTCTCTTTGGCTCTCGGCAAAACATGGGAATCCATCACCTTCCCAGGCACGTGCTGGGAAGACATGATGTAAGTGAGAGGCACACTGCTCCTGCAGGCAGGGTGGGTGGCTCTGATAGGAGGGCGGGTAGGAGGAACATGTCTGAGCATCATCGTTCTCCCCACGCAGAACTGAGACATAATGGTCGATTCCACACTAGACATTTATGAAGTGAAAGCTATTTTCCTAGAGTTGATCTAAGTGTTTAACTGAGGGAAACACAAAGACAGTTTAACTGACGTGACTCTGACTTCAGACAAAAATAGCAGTGTCTCTAGAAACAGCCTGACTGTTGTCTCCGCAGAGGGGAAGCCTCAAGAGGAGCTCGAGGCAGAGGAGGAAGAGGAAGAGGAGGAAGCCAAGAACATCCAGAAGCGGCTTATGGAAAACTTGCGAGAGGAAGACTATGACCTGCACCTCCTTCAGGTACCTGCAGGGGGCGCTGAGAACCAGCCCGTCAACACAGGCCAAGAGCAGCACATTGCTGTCGCTGTCATCCACAGCCCCACTGCCTGGCACTACAGAACCAAGGCTCAGTCTAAAACAGGCCTCTTACAAATAGAGAACAGTGCATTCCAAGCAGTTATGGAGTCTTGGCACAATTTTTGCACATTTTGCTTATGTCCTTTTAGCATTGCATGGTCATCTCTTCCTCAGATGAGGAACCTGCAAAGCTCCTGTAGGTCTCTGTTGGGGGAAATCAGTGCAAACGTTTGGCTTTCATTTCGGCTACAAGAGCCAGTCATTCTGCCGTGCTTACCTTCCCTCGTTCTTCCCGCACTTTCTGACTCCCGGTCGGGTCTCTCCCGGGGCTGTCGTGGCAGGAGTTCGCCACAGAGCAGGAGGAGGCGAAGGCCCCGGAGAAAGAGGGCAAGATCGTCAAGGACCTGGCGAAGATGTCCCAGAAGGAGAAGCTGAAGCTGCTGAAGAAAGAGTCCCCCGAACTCCTGGAGCTCATCCAGGACTTCAAGGCCAAGGTGAGGAGTCGGCCCCACGCAGGGGCTCCCGCCGGGTCTAGAGCAGCACCCCAGTCCAGGCCCGGCGGTTCGGTCAGGGTGCTGGGTCATGGTCTGCAGGCAGGCTGGATGTGGGCCGTACTGTGACGGAAAGACCCTGATCATTTTTGGGAATCTGACTGGGAGGTGAGAAGAAGTATAAACACAATGGTCAGCCTGCTCACGGAAACAGACATATTAATATTACCCCACAGGCTAGAAGGGCCAAATAGCTTCCTGTTTTTTGGAACTTTTCTTACATTCATTAGTGCCCAACTTCCTGCCTTTTCTCTTTCACTAGAAATGCATGTGTGTGTCACTCCATGTAGAATGAGGTTTCCCTGTATTGATGTGAAGTATTATTACATGCACAAGAACACCATTTACCCAAGTCCAGCAGCCTGACGTTTCCTGAGGCCCATTCACTGGAATCCCATCAGGAAAGGCTTGGATGAGATTCCCGGCTCAATGACTTGTACCAGTCAAAGCAAAATGTATTCAGAAATGCTTAATTCTTAATCGGGGCCATTTAGAAGTGTGCGGGATTGATGCAGCCCTACAATCCACAGAATCCCTGCTGTGCAACGGTGCTCTTCCCCTGCCATAGGATGAGTACTGGAGACCCCTGGTCTTCCTGCTTTTCTGTGGGATGAGTACTGGAGACCCCTGGTCTTCCTGCTCTGCTGTGGGATGAGTACTGCAGACCCCTGGTCTTCCTGCTCTGACAGTAGAGCTCCTTCTAGTGATTCTGAGCTGCTGTGTCCGTTCTGTGCAGCTGGCGGAGCTGAAGGACGAGGTGCAGCCCCTGGTGCAGATGGTGAAGGATGGGAAGATTCCTGAAGGGAAGGTGAGACACTCACTGTGTGCTTCATCAGGTTTTTGCTGGATACTGCCGGTGCTGTGATTAGGTCTGATTTACAACACAGGGCCTGCGACAGGGAGCAAGGTAGTAAATGTTGCATGCTGCAAGTAAGATAATTAACGATGATTACAATGGTGTAACCTTAATACACCTCTCTCACCAGATTTCCCCTCTTCATGGTGGGAGAATTCCATTTTAATTTTATGCTCCTGCCTCCAGCAATATTTCTCCTCCCTCTCGCACTCCTTGCAAATCACAAACTGTCCTGCATGAGGAGGCTTTTCAGGAATTGTGACAGAAGCAGGTCACCCTGAATCCTCAGTGATAGTCCAAGTGAAAAGAGCAGCAGGAGAGCCCAGTAAGGATGTGTACAGGACATGAAGAATGGAGCAGCGTGGGAGCAGTAGTGTACAACGCTCTTCATCCTGATTGAAGATCACGCCTGTCCATGTTATTAGACTGTATGAGACCTGTGCACATGGGGTCGTTCCCCACTGAGAGCTCCTGTGCTTTCAGAGCTGCATCTTTTAGTCCTTCACAGGATGATCAGAATACTTTAATACTTTACTTTAATACTTTACAGGAGAACTGTCTTAACAGGAAACATGACCAGGACAAAAACTATGATTGTATTAAAAAAAAGTGTTACATTCACAGAAAAACATCTTTCTCTACCTCTTTTTCTCCACAGGGTGCCGAGTACCTCAGGACCAAACAGCAGCTCTATCTGAAGTGAGTTTCTAAATACCAGGCTTCTGCTCCTAAATCTGTTACAATACCTCTGTGCGTCATCTCCACTGTGCTGGGCAGTGTCCTGCTGTTCTTCGTGCTTCCAGAGTGTCACCACAGATAAAAACAGGGATCCCCTCGTCGCCTCTTCCATGATGCACAAATACAGATTCAATTTTCATTTTTTTTTTTTACTGTATCTTAAAAATTAGCAAAGCCTTATATCCTGTAGGTGATTGGGGGTGTAATTAATTCTAAGCATCTGAAATGCACACAGTAGTGTATTCCTGCTGAAGGTCTTCACTCCAGTCTTCGAATACCTAGTCATTCTTTTACGCTCTACAGCAAAGGATATTCAGATCATCTCTTTGTAAGGAAAACACTTTTAAACCTTGTTTATTAATATGGTGGATATCAGTTGCATCGTTCAGACAAGATTTTCATCTTCACAGTTGTTTTTGATCATGTGGGGTTGGTTGAATATCCCTAGCAGTAATGAGAGAGAAACCATTTCCCTGCTGACCACAGTTCTCCCATCACTTGTTGAAGTGGTGAGGGTGTCGGTCAATGTCTTTGTCTTTGGGTTTTGTTTTCATTAGTTATTGCACCAACATCAGCTTCTACCTGGTCCTGAAGGCGAAGAGAATTCCTGCACACAACCACCCTGTGATCGAGAGACTGGTCACCTTCAGGAACGTGAGTCTTTCCCAAAGCCTGCAAAAACTCAGATCGTCTTGCAGGGCTTTCACGCCGTAGATCCGTCTCTGCTGTGCACCACAGTGTCACACTGTTGTCATGCTTTGATGTGCAGGGCTGAGACTCTACTAATGATTATAATCTTCAGTATTTTCATATTATTAATATCTTTTCCTTCGATTTATCCTTCCCTGACTTAATATGGAGGCGACTCGATGGGACAGTGGTTGGCATTGCAGCTTCGCCTGTCTTTAATTCCTGGTCTGGGGTGTCGTTTGAGTTCAGAATCCCTGCCCCTTAACCCACCCCCCCATTTTGAATTGTCTCTGGGGTTCACTTCCCTCTCCTTGTCTCCAACAATTTGCAGTCACCTCCAGCTGGCACTGTCTGACCCTGTCACTGTGGGCTCTCTTGCCTAAAAGAACAGATCGAGCTCCATGCTTGCGCTTTTCTTCTTTCCCTCTGCAGTGGGGTGTAGTGAAGGCACCCCCTATGTATTTAGCTCTCTTGGTATAGCCATCCAGACCCAGTGGTCACCAGTGCATCCTGGATTCAATTCCTGGGCTGCTGTCTGTGTGGAGTATGTATGTCCCCCCTGTGTTTGCGTGGGCTTCCTCTGGGTGCTCCCGTTTCCTCCCACATCGCAAAGACCTTGGCTTCTGATGAAATTGCAATCGACTGGTGTCCCGTCCAGGGTGTATCCCGCCATGCGCCAGTTCCTTTTTTGGATAAGCTCTGGCACCCCCGTGGCCCTGAATTGGCAGACGCAGTTAGAAAAGGGGCAGGTGGCTCAATGTGATTCAGGCTCAGTACAGCGGATGCTGGTCGTGTGTCTCCCGCAGCTGATCAACGACCTGGGTCCTGTGGATGCCAGGGTGTCCTCAGAGCTGCGCCTGCTCCTGTCCGAGACTGAGAAGGGCAGAACTGTCAGCAAGCCTTCAGAGAACAAGCAGCCCACTGGCATCAGCAAGAAGGTGAGGCCCCCCACACACCTGGGGAGCTGGTGTTGCTGCTGGACAAGTACACTCTGGGTGCTTTTCATGAGAAGGACTTACAAAAGCACAGCAGACTTGATTGTTATCTACGGGGGGTAACGTTACCATTATTTTTAGTTTTCCACTTCTCAAGCTTTGTATTTATTTCTACAAGCACTGTTAACAGGTAGGTCCTTCCTCACCCTACAACATGATCCAAAACAATTGCAGTTACAGATCACCCTACAGAACAGTTCTCCAATTATTTTTTGGGCATTTAAAAATATCTCGCATCTGGTGCAAACATCGTAATTTATCAGTTCAGCAGTTCTGAATAGAGGAGTGCTTCAATAATGTAAATTCTGTGGTAGAAATATCGCTGCAGGATTTTATTATTATCCGTCAATAATACAGCTTTGTTTCACACAATGTCAACTGATGGCTAGATACATTTCACTTATGGTTGTGAGCATTGAACTTTGTGTTCCCTTTTCAATTATCTTCTTAGTTTAATATTAATAAACATTTAATAGATGGCTGTTGAATTGTTGTGAAGTTTTAATTTTCTCCTTTTGACTTCCCTTAGTCCTTAGTGTAGGTGGGGTGCTGATTTAGCTTCCTTGTTATCAAGATATTTAGTCATATCTGGTCAGTTTGTCGTAAAGAAACAACCTTCTTTAAGGGTTATTCTGAAATGGTACCTCTTAGTGCAGAGTTAATACCTGTTCCTATTATTGAATTTTCTTGTTAAAAGCTCAGATTCAGGTTCAAATGGTTCAACGAGTTTGTCAGCCTCTGTAATTTAGAGCTTGGGTGTAATGGAAAATATGGAAAATAGCAGAGGCTAGGATTGATTTTACAGTTCTCATTTACTGAAGTTAAAAGAGAACCTGACCACAGGTTTCTCACACTGTCACAGTGCTGGTAACCACCAGATTCATTACCAGCCTGGTTAGCAATCTTCTTATCTGATTCTAGTCCTCTCTCCCATGTCTGTGTGTGTCTCTGTGTGTGCGCTGTTGCCTGCTTGCTCCTGTTCACCCCTCTGTGCGTGTGCGTGCATGCATGCTTGCTCCTGTCCACCCCTCTGTGCGTGTGCGTGCATGCATGCTTGCTCCTGTCCACCCCTCTGTGCGTGTGCGTGCATGCACGCTTGCTCCTGTCCACCCCTCTGTGCGTGTGCGTGCGTGCACGCTTGCTCCTGTCCACCCCTCTGTGCGTGTGTGTGCACGCTTGCTCCTGTCCACCCCTCTGTGCGTGTGTGTGCACGCTTGCTCCTGTC